AAAAAAAAAAAAAAAAAAAGAAAAAACCTCCCTAAGCATGCATGATGACCTCAGGGAAACCATGTCTATGAAGGGGTCAGGAAGTGGAAATGCCTGGAGAGCTAACAGGTAAAAGTGTCTGGCCCTGAGTAAGTCATCGCTATTGTAATTTCCAGCTAAAAACTATCACCGTGCTCTGCTCCTAGGGTTGCAGGCATTCTCTTCCTCTGGGCCCTAAACCAGGGCTTCTCAAACTGGAATGTGCTTCTAGATCACTGGTCAGAGTCAGTTGATCTGGAGAGATGCTGACGCTGCGGGTCCTCAGACCAACACACTCTTCAAATCTCAGCTCAAACGCCATGTACTGACCTTCTCAGGGCTGGACTGGGTACACCTTCCCCTGCTGCCTTACCCCTCTCAATTCCCCACTGCAGTGCCTAATCTCCTGCAGGGCAGTTATGTTGCCTGAATTTCCCACTAGATGGTAAGAAGGTGAGGTAGGAGGCGGAACTCTACTCCAGACCTAATTGAAGACTGTCTCCATAAGGCATGCCCACCAGCATCAGGACAGTTTATCCATTCCTTAGCAATGACTGGACCTGGAATTTACCACCCCTTTCTCCAGAAATTTCTGAATAACCTGTCCCTTAATTTGCTTGTAATTAAAAGTGGGTATAAAGGAGCATGCAGAACTCTGCCCCTGAGCTGCTCTTCTCCACACACTGCTTATGGGGTAGCCCTGCTCTTCAGAAGCTGCCAGAGAGCTGCAGTAGTCAAGGTGAGCTGCTTTCTTCTACAACCAGCTCATCCTTGAATTCATTCCTGGGCAAAGACACAAATCTTTCCAGGCAGAAGCCCTGATTCTGGGGTTCCCTGGCCCTGCCACAGGGGGACTGGGCTTGCCTCCACCACTGTGTTCCCAGTGCTGGGCAGACTGCCTGGCACCCAGAGCTCAGGGTCTGCTGGGTGAAATAAAAAAGTCAACCTTGGACAAAATGCTTCTTTAAGCTTTAGTTTCCTCATCTGTGAAGTGGACTCTGTGTGCCACAGCAGGTTGTTGTGAGGATTAAATAAAATGGGCTGGCAGGGCGCGGTGGCTCACGCCTGTAATCCCAGCACTTTGGGAGGCCAAGGCGGGTGGATCATTTGAGGTCAGGAGTTTGAGACCAGCGTGGCCAACATGGCGAAACCCCATCTCTACTAAAAATAGAAAAGTAAGCCAGGCATGGTAGTGGGCGCCTATGATCCCAGCTACTCAGGAGGTTAAGGCAGGAGAATCACTTAAACCTGGGAGGCGAAGGTTACAGTGAGTTGAGATCGCACCACTGCACTCCAGCCTGGGTGTCAGAGCGGAGAGCACAGCACAGTGCCTGGCACATAGGTACACATTCATTATTCGGCATCTACTATTTCCAATACAAAATTCCATCCCCCGCCTCCCAATGATTGTGTTGTACATTACAGTCCACAAGCATGAAGAATTTTGGTGGCTAGTTTGGGGGTACTCAAGAGAGAACCTGACCTGAGGACATCAATGGTAAGGATGTCAACTCCTCCCTCAGTTAGATGGTAGTTGGGTATGGCAGTGGCAAAGAGGGCAGGAGGCCGTAATTACCCTTTCTCAGTCTTCTCTGTGACATTAACTCTTCTCTGCGGAATCGCTCTGGGTCTAGTTCTGAGTAGTCCCAGCTGTCAAAGCTCTGTGGGCAAGGATAGGTGCCTAAGGGAGGAGTCAAGAGTGAGAATGGGGCTGGGCCTGGTGGTCACGCCCATAATCCCAGAACTTTGAGAAGCCAAGGTGGGAGGATCACTAGAGCCCAGGAGGCCAGCCTGGGTAACCATAGTGGGACCCCATCTCTAAAAAGAAAAGAAAAAAAAAAAGAGTGAGAATGGAGACTTCTGTAAAAGAGGGCTGGGGATCCCCTGCTGGCTCCTGGGAGGCTGGGCTTCTGGGGTTAGTCCTGTTCCATACTAGCCTTGTGGCCTTGAGCGAGTCACTTCCTCTCTAGGGGGCTTTGGCTTATTCCTCCAGAAAATGGGGATGATGGCCCTGCCCTACCTAACTGTCGACTGGGTGTAAGGGTCAGAAGGCACAGTGTGTGGGTCCCTGACATGCTTTGCAAATGTGAAGACATCATAGTTATTTGTGTTCCATGCCCCCTGTTCTGGCTAGACTGAGTTCCCTGAGAACAGGGGCTGGGTCCTCTTCATCTTTATACCTCCAGGGCTCTAGGTTTGGGACAAAATAAATACAGTAGGTGCTTAGTAAATGTTTGCTTAACATTATCACACTTAGCTAATTGCCAGAAATGGCTTCTCTCTACATGTTTGACAGTGATGCTTCTGAGGATTACTTGAAACATTTGAGCCACTATGCAAAGCTGCTGGCTCCGTTGGACAAAGTGGACAGAGGGTTTATTACCAGGGATAAATTGGGGTAAGGAAGTATAGCCTTGGACGTTAAGGGGAATAGCAAGGTGAAACAACATGAATAGAAGACAGTCAGAAAATGGGAAGCGGGGTGGCATAATGGTCAAAGACCTAGCTTTGGAGTACCACAGCCCTGGAATGAACACCTATGCAGTGGCTCACGCCTGTAATCCCAGTACTTTGGGAGGCTAAGGCAGGCAGATCACAAGGCAAGGGGATCACGAGATCAGGAGTCTGAGACCAGCCTGACCAACATGGTTGAAACCCCATCTCTAGTAAAATTACAAAAATTATCTGGGTGTGGGTGGCACATGCCTGTAATCCCAGCTACTCAGGAGGCTGACTGAGGCAGGAGAATCACTTCCCCAGAGACAGAGGTTGCAGTGAGCCAAGATCATACCATTGCACTCCAGCCTGGGCAACAGAGCGAGACTCCATCTCAAAAAAAAGGAGGGGAAGGGGATTAGGAAGGGATGTCTCAGAACTGTTTTGCCAAAGCAGGAAACTTTGTATTCCTTGGGGCTCCAACCACATACTTTGTTCTCTTTAACATTAAGGAAAGAAGAAGAAGAATGTCTTGATGAAGGGGCGTCATAGCAAACAATAACATACCTAGGTACCAGTGGAAAACGTTTTCCCAGAACTGCTTTCCCCAGTGGAAAAAAGTCACCTCTCACCTGAAATCCACAGGCTCATTGTGTTACAGATGTCAGACTTGAATTCGTGCGTGTTGAACCAGGACTGTGGGAAACAGCAACAGAAGCTGGTGTACACGGCTTTGCTCAGAAGTGAAGGCAGCCTCTGCGGAGCAAGCAGCACTCAGGCCACGTTCTCAACATCTCCACCCTGGCTTACATGATTTGGGGATGAGGAAGGACTTTTTTATTTTTTTGAGACAAGGTTGTCACTGTGTCACCCAAGCTAGATTTGAACTCCTGGCTGAAATGATCCTCTAATCCTCTTGTCTCAGCCTTCTGAGTAGCTGGAACTATAGGTGTGTACCACTGCACTCGGCTATACTCTTTAACCTACATAATCTAAGAAATAAAATGGGGGCCGAGCGCAGTGGCTCATGCCTGTAATCCCAGCACTTTGGGAGGCCGAGGCGGGTGGATCACTTGAGATTGGGAGTTTGAGACCAGTCTGCCCAACACGATGAAACCCTGTCTCTACTAAAAATA